AAAGTATTTTTATGATAAGATACTTTTACTCAAGTATCACTTTGAGGTACTTTATACAACACTGGTGTTTAGTGGGTTTTGCTACCTCCAGCACACAGAGATGAGCAGCGAGACCAGGAGGTGTAGTGCCAGGCAAACCCACTCTGAGGATCCCGGCTGACTGGTGGGTTGAAGCGAAAGTGGATCCCTGGGTTTTCCTCTCGCACCAGCACCTGCTCACACACATTTACCACAACTCAATCTCAGGCACTCCTTCAAACTACCTATCTGTCCACTCTCCAAGTGGGAAAACAGATTTGCTGTTTTTGCTTCTGTTCCTACCATGACAATAAGGGTGATATTTGTTGGACCCAGGGCTTCAAGGGTTTCTGGCCCATCAGTGGGCCGTCTGTAGTGGAAGGTGGTGCCGGCAATGTTGAACCTTCGAGGCGTGTCGATGGTAAGCTTCCCGTTGATAAAAAACTGGTCGCTTTTACTCTTCAGCACTGGAACACAGAGGGAGATATTTGAGAAAGGGGGTCTCTGCAGTCACTAAGTGGGAGCTTCTTGTTGTGTGGGAGGAGTTTGTCCAAGACGTGATTGGTCGAAATGACTGTTTTAGGTGGGGTTTAAAGAACGCCGGGCAGCTGAGGGGAACTTTGTATAGCTCGGTCGAAATGGCCAGGAAGCTCCAATATTTTTAAATCTAAAAAAAATATTTTTAGTCTTAACTCGAGACAGGAAGTCGCACCAAATTTGAATCAAGAAATAGACCATCTTGTAGCATGCTTGGCGAAGCCTAGCTTTTCCGGGTCACTGGATGAAAGCTGAGGTTTGCTATAAGAAAATGTTTTTGGAATTATGCAAACTGAAGAAGCTCAACAAGCACATGTAGATAGGAACCATAGCATCTACGATCCAAAAGGAAAGTTCAACACAAATCAGTTTAGAGCAAATACATTGTCTCGGTATAACAGTGTAAATTTACCTGTTGAATTTGTGCTATTACAATGGCGTTACCCATACATGTCAACCCCTTCGGCCGTTTACCTGTATAATGCTGTCTGGCGGACTGTCGGCTGCAGCAATATCAGAAGGAAATGAGGACGGAAGAACTTATTTTATAGCARCAGAGTGGGCTGGAAATAGATTATTGATGTTATTAATTGTTTTTTTTTTAATATCCTATAGGCTTTGACATGTTAAATAAATTGGAAACTGGGTTTTTGAAAAAATCCATACAACATAAAAAAATCTGTGACATTGCTCTCTCTGTACATCTGTATACCTGCAAAATTACGGATAATCCGAACAACCTGACATGTATGGTTAACTTAGCAACCCCAGCCTTTTCCTGATAAACGTGAGGTCGGCCCGATTCGCACATTTGTGATAATTTCTAACWATGAAACAGTCTATTATGTTTACATGTTCACAATAGTTTTTATTTAAGATATTTTTCTGTTTAAAACTATAAAGACAGTCAATAAATTACATTTCCATGTTCACAATAATTTTGAGATTACCATTACTTCTTCTTCTAACTTGCCCTACAAGAAAAGTCAATACGACCAATAGTGGTTTTGCCAAAATCCGCTCACCCAAGAACCTTCACCTCTATTCCAAACTCCACCAATCCCTATAAGGACAAACTCCGCCCACACTGAGGAACTCTGCCAATCACAGTCAGGACAAACTCTGCTCACACACCAAGAAACTCTCCCTKTGTACTGCAGAGACCCCYATTTGAGATATTAGGGGGGTCCTGGATTACATTCCAGGATTTATAACAACAGTCGGTTCAAATTAGCGTCATCTTACCAAGGTAGTTTAGGGAGATGTTGAGTTCTTGGATGTGGATGAAGACTGATCCTTTAGGGATTCTGACCACCTCTTCGTAACCTAAAGACACACAAAAAGTAAAAAAAAAAAATGAAGGCAAACAGCAGTGGTGGTGGATGCAGGAGCAGTGATTCACTCTGTGGGACATCCGTGCTCCAAGAAGAGGTTTCGGTTTCCAGCTGCATTCCTGGGCAGATCTCCTCGAGTCTCTGCTCAAATGGGACATCTTTGCCAAGAGAGCTGGCTTCTCCTCCATTCCCTCCATCTGTCATGTCCCGTTTTTCTCTGCTCATCTCACCTCTATCTCCGCCTGGCTCTGCTTTTTTCTTCCAGCTTTGCTCTGCTGTCCAGCCAGCAGGCCAGGTGCTGCAGCACCATAAATAACTTAAAGAAGGCATGATAAAAACTCTGAGCTATAATCTAATTCCTTCCAGTGTCATTTGGATTGTGATCGCTTTGAAAAGGAGAAACCGAGCCTGGATCAAAAGTTTTCAACTACCTTAAAAGTGTTAGATTGAGCTTTGTTGTAGTRTTGTAGTACTCGATACTGGTCTAAAGACCACTTTTTGTTGGTCTCATCTCAGACACGACCTCATTTGTACTCTGTCTTGTCTCKGTCTCAAATATTGAGGACTTGGGAATTTATTTCAAGACCAGACAAGACCACAACTGTGGAAATATCACTAAATTGCCAGAATATTGTCCAGCTTAATTGTTAACATCTTTGCTTTCATTGGATGTAAAAYGAACTGAGTCAAATGCAAGCGTGACTCATTGCTAATTATGTATTTTTGTTACCGCTGTCACCAATCTCCTGCCTTTCACTCACGCACGACACTCCAAGAAAGTGAGCAGTGATTGTCTGGGAGCGGGAGAAGATGTCTGCAAAATCTTCAGTAATACAGTTTGGCCACATAAATCATAAAGAATATATTTGTAAAACAACAAGAAAGCATACAGTGACGTGTAAATTCTGCAGTGCTTGGCTTTCAGGGATGGTGGAGGACTACATTAAACTTTTATAGTCACTTAGAAAGGAAGAGCAAAGAAAGGTGAGCTATGGCTGTGCCTCAATTCACGGGTTGCAGCGGACGTTGACCGCATTTGTTGGCTGCTTACGTCACTGCCCCGCGCCGTAGGCTGTCCCAATTTATATGCGCCTACAAATACGGCCTACAAAACCCCGAAAACGTCGGCTGCATCTGAGTATCCCTGAATTCTTTGCGCTGTTAGCAACTGAAACAGAAAAACAAAGACGTGTTTGTTTGTTTTTTTGACGGCAGAGTATTTTCTTTTTTTAATGACGGAGTTTGGAAAGTTGTCACGGACCGAAAAACTTAAGTTAAACAACTTAGCTGAAGAAACCTTTGTTGCAATGAGATGTTAAATAAAATGCAGTTACAAGTACTGATACTGGAGCTAAACCCAAATTATTAACACTTTTTATTTATTTACTTGTAACAATTTTCTATTAAAACTGAATTATGTGAAGTTATACCTTGAAAAACCAACTGAAGCGATGCAACGAGGCAGAGCGTGGTCACGTAAACATACGTCTTCCGTAAACTAGACCRKCTCATTTCACAGCCGTTTATGCAGCCGACCTGAGCGGCCTACGGTCCACGTAGACTGTGGACAACGTGGGCCACGGTCTACGTCGGCTGCAACCCATGAATTGAGACACAGCATTTGTGTAAGTGATGTTAGCAAAGCTAGCTAGCTAGCTAACATTAGTAATCTGCCTCTGTACCAAAACTCTTTACCCGACCCTCACACAAACAGATTCAGTCAATATTAGCTAGCTAGCTGTTAGCTACCTGTGTACAGYGTACTGTATGTTTTAAAGGCACTAGTTTCCATTTCTTATTTTCTGGTCTTGGTCTTGACTTGGTCCAAACCCTAAAACATTTGGTCTTGGGTTAGGTGGTCTTGACTACAGCACTATTTTAAACATGTCTGTGTGATTTGGATCATCTGCCTGCTGCATATTCTCCTTCAGGTTTTTTAGATAAAGAACAGCAAAGTCACCCCAAACCATTATATCACTACCACCATGTTTGACTGTAGGTCTAATCTTTTTCCTGAAACGGGCCTTTGTTTTGTTTTTGCTCAGCGGTGGTTTTCACTGTGGAACTCTCACATGGAGGTCATTTTTGCACATCGACTCTTTCTTATTATTAAATCGTGACCTCTGACCTTAACTGAGGCACGTGRGGCCTGTGGGGCTTTAGATGTTGTTCTGGGCTCTTTTGGGACCTCCTGGATAAGTCGTCAATGCTCGAGGAGTAATTTTGTTAGTCTACTCGAGGGAAGGTTCAACACTGTCTCATGTTTTCTGTCTCCATCAGTACTGTCAAGTTCTTTTTTTTTGATCTATCAATGAAGTCAAATGTGATATTTTCATTTTTTAATTAGAAAACGTTTTTGTTAAAACTGCTGGAAAAATTTGTAGACAATGATAAATGTTAGTTTGTTTGGGAAGGATCCAATATTTTACACCAGTTTGAATTAAATTTTGAGGGGAAAAAAACAAGAGKGGGCAGATACAATAAAAAAATCTTGCTGCTTCCTTTCATTGAATTTATAACTTGTGTTTTGTTTTTATTGTAAATACATTTTCTTTTTTGTTGAATGAATGAATAAATACATGGACTTGCATCCAGTTCTATTTTTTTCTGTTTGTGTCGGAGGATCGCTCAGTCTTTTGAAGCTCGGCCAAGAGGGAACAACCATATTGCACCATGCCAGTCTTGTGTATTTGTGTTGAATTTGCACATGTGAGACAAGCAAAACGGAAAGCCACACATTGGAAAAACTGCCCCCAAAGCACTGCTAGAGGTCCATACTCTCCAGAGGGATCCTTTAAATCACAGAAGCAGACGRGGGGAAGAGACGTGTTGGCAGCGGGCTTTCAGAGTTTAGAGGAATCAAAAGCTCGCTGTAGACATGACTGAGTGATTCTTTTAGTCATAAATCTGCCTGTGACCAGAATAAGTTTTCAGTTTTCTGCCTGGAGTTTGAGTTTGGTCGTAGATGTGGACGGGCTGTGCAGGRGTAGTGACCCAAGTCAGAAAAGTTTTAAATTGTTTTTGCAACTCAAGTTTAACAGCAAAAAGGCTTTTGTTCATTTTTTAACAGATTTAAGTATTTAGGATCTATAATTCCACACCTTTTAGACAAATCAAACTGACTTATGAATGCCAAACTCATTTATGCTGTGTGACTAAAAATAAAAAGGAAACATCAGCCTGGTTCCAAAGTGTTGGAGAAAATAGCATTAATGACATATTTATGGTGCACTAACCGCAGATTGAATTGTGCAAGCTAAACGAACAAACAAATAAAAGTATTTGAATGGTCAAAGTCTCGTCAATTTATTTTAAGAGCACATTTAAAACCACACAAGTTGAACCAAAGTGCTGTGCAATAAACAAAGCAAAACCAAAACAATCCAAATTTTGTAAAATAACATATAACATATTAAAAATAAAAAAGAAATATTCAAAATATGTGGAAATAAAGATAAGTTTCAATGTGARCACAAGTATTTGTTTAACCTGAATCACGGATGAAAAATGATTTTAAAATAATGTACAAAAGGATTGTTTTTTTGCTCTCAGTGATGGTTCCTAAATAAWGAAATTACATGGAAATGATGGCAGTTTATTTGCAAGAATTTGATGATACAATGCAACAGGGATCACAATATATTGCACTACTTTAAGCAAGGTGATATACGTATTGCAATATATTGCCTTTTTTTCTCCAAAGCCTCTACTTTTAAAAAAACCTTCTGAAAAACGATAGCCTGGCCCTTGCCTTCCTACGCAGTTCCGCTCAATTCTAGTTTCCCTTCACTGCTCCGTCTGGGACTTATACAAGGATTTCTTTGGGAGAATTTTCGTCCGGGCCAATCAGAGAAAAAAACATCGATTTTCTGCACAGTGTCTCTTGAAGTTTATTTTACCTGGGCCAATCAGCAAACAGAAGGCGGAGTTTTGAACGACGTTGATTTTCTGCGCAGTGTTTGCTAGTTTGTTTAGCGGCAGTGGGGGAAGTGAACGAAACCAATCTGTGTTGATAAGGCTTCCAAATTAAAWTAAATTTGTCTGACAAAGCAGCAGCTCTCATTCACAGCCGTCTCGTTCAGCTCGGTATATTTCTCCTCTCAGTAGGGTTGTTTACAGTGCACGCGATTTCCGGTTAGCTTCTTAGCTTAGCCTCCTTCACAGTGGAGCTGGAACACATACGTCGCGGCCAACCGATCCAATCATTTTTAACTTYAGCAGAGGCCACGCCTCCAGCAAGAATAACTTCTCTACAGTCGAGAGTCCAGACCCTCGTACGAAGCAAAGGACAARGGTCTGGTTTTTACCAGGCTATAAAAACGAGAATCTCTTGGAGAAAGTCTGATTGCGACAGTTTAGAACGATGAAAAATGTTGGATCCTGCRTGTTATTTAGAGCTTTAATTGTGTCAGTTTCAAGCACCTTTCTTTAATATTTATCCCCTTCATTTTCTTACTTTAATAAAAATGCAAACAACGATCGTAGCCTTCTCATAATCACACACTGATAACATAAGAAAAAAAAGCAGTAAAACCTACATATCAGCTGCCTTACTGTGGGATTATTTTTGTTGTTGCTTTTGCCAACAATAACTCCAGATATTTCAAGGGCGGCTGTGACCTCAGAACCGGGTTGGCAGACTGGTCTGGTCTTTGCGGTCTGGATCAGAACTGTCCGCTCCGGGTGTGGCCCCGCTGAAGAGTCACGGGGACGGATGTAACGGGTGTTGACACGTGGGTGAGAGCCTCCGGAGTCGGTGTTGTGGGCACAAAGTCACCCGGAATAGATTTGATAGCAGCAGGAACTCTGACTGCACTGGTTGGGTTTAMAATTTGAGACATTTCTGAGGGGTTACCTTCAGCTGCTGACTCGTTCTGTYAGTASGTGAAGYCAACTTCACTCATATTTTGTTTTKKTTTTTAATAAAAMCTTGTGTAGCATGAATCCATACACTCTGTGATCTTGACTKTGTAGATGCAACTGACACTACTGACAATGTACAAATTTGTTTATACACAACACATCCTACAGAAAACCTTTTTCTAGCTTCCATATTTATAGACAGTTGAGTCTTTAATCTGCAGCACATGTAGTGTTTTACTGGTTTTCTGAAATAATTACAGTAAATGTAACAGCATGCTTTTGGGARCACAGTTGTACTAAATATATTTAACCTCTGGTGTATACCAATATGCACATCTTTCCAAGGTCTTCCCTTAGTACAAGCTGCCAAAATCCAAATGTGCATAATCTGAGACAACAGATTGAGCTGCAWAACTTCGAATAAATGCTTTCCTGATGGCTTTGTCTAATTCCTGGAAAGGTGGACACTGATCCAAAGTCAAARAGTTAGGATTTTTTGACAGAATACATAACAGCCGCGCTACCTTTCATGCCAAAGTTTTRCACCAAAATCACTTTGAAGGAGACATATCCTGCTTTYAAATCCTTCTTTTTCACATTTAAACCATTCAGTTGGRGTCTGTATAAAGTGGAACTGCAATGCTGAATGTCTGAATTCCTCYTTATTGTAACTCCACAAGCCCCTCTTTCACAACTTTTCTGAGATGTGTGTGAGATCAACTCATTTTTGAGGCTGTCTCTTTAAATCCGAACGGGGCGCTTCACACTCCGCCCCCCTCCAGCTTCGAGACCGGTCCATTCCAGTTTGATAGAGGGGTTTAGTGCTACATAGCTGCGCANAAAGATGTCAACAAGGGAAGACTTGTCCATCCAGCCTCACATGTTGGAGGCAGAGTCTGACCCAGAACCAGAGGAGAATGAAGACCACCAAACTGTAGGTGGTAAGYTCAGACCCTTTTTGTCGCAGATTCTGTGATGTAATAATACAGAAAACGTCACAGAAAACTAAACAGGGTGAAAATATGACCCAAATTGATATTGTTGCAGCACCAGGAGAGACTGAATTAAACTTTTCTGCACTCCAAGGGACTCCAAGTACACAACAAAATGCTTTTAACGGCTAAAAAGTGGATTTTGTATGATATGTGCCCTTTAAATAAAGCAGCTGTAAWTGTTTTGACCAATTCTTGAAAACATGATGTGAAGTTACTGTGATGTCATGAGGTGTCATGCTCAGATCACGTGTTAAATTTGACTGTTGTAGACATTTCTGTGTTGACCGATGTGGATTTAGCTGTGGCAGCCATCTTGAACGAGTTGACTTGCAAAGCTAATCAGCTGCAGATGTTCATCTAATGGTGATTTCCTGGAAGTTTCACTAAAGTTGGTTCAGTGGTTCGTGAAACGTCTCAGTATCGCACACATGAGCAAAAACATCATTGCCCTCTTTTCAGCAGCAGGTGATATTTATTAGTGGCAACACCTGGTAATAAAAAGAAGTGTCTCTACCTCCTTCAGGCAGCGAGTCATTGAAGACGCCCTCCACAGAGACACAGCTGCTCCCATCCCCCCCGCAGAGCCGGCAGCGATCCTCTCGTACGTCCGAGCCGAGAACACGGTCGCAGCCCACGTGCTGCAGGAAGGAAGAAAAGGTTTGAAGTGCAGGGGTCACTCAGAGTCATGGACGAAAGGGGTGGGGGTGGGGTGGCGGGGACACAGACAGCGAGCTGAGGGGCGTCAGAGGCCACGCTGACGAATTACCTCCTAATGTCTTCCAGACCCACTTCTTTAAAAAACAGAAATATCAGATGGCAAGTCCAGATGCGTTTTCTGATCCTGAGCAGACATAATGCTCTGGTTGCTAAAYTCAGAGCTGTCGACGAAAAATAAATTTTATGATGAGCTCAGCAGGTGGTTTTACTCAGACTCTTTTAACAGAAACTTAAACAAAAACATAAAAAATGGACAAACTACTGCTTCGATTCAAATCCAATTCACTATATTAAGTTCTCTTAGTTACTTAATATAGTCAGGAATTCATAGTTGCTTTTCTACTGTTAGCTTTTAAAATAAGCTTTGCTTGTTTAGCTTTTGCTCATTTTTGCTAAAGTTTTAGCTTCAGCATTGAGTTTTTTTTAAATCAACCGTTTTCTTTCTTTTTTCTTTTTAAAACAGGAAAAAATTAAAAGAAATCAGCATAATTGCTGTTATATAGCCGTTCTGCAGAACCAAAATAAAAATAAAAAATAAAAAAAACACAAATGTCCAACATCAGTTGTTTTAATCTTACAGGGATAGAGATGTTTGTGAAACCTAAATTTAGAACCAGTTTGAAGGAGCGATGTATTTCAATCCAGGGAATAAAACTACGGAATAATCTGGACAGTGATGTTGCTTGATCAAAGTTTATGTTTAATAAAATGATAAAAGTTGGTTTGTTCAAAAAATATGAAATATTATAATGTGTATTCATACGAATTGTTGTTTGTGTTGTTAATGTTTTTGTTACTTGAAGATTATTATTGAGTTTATTTTCTTTTTAAAAAGGGGGCAGATATAATTTTCTTCTTTCTGTTGCCTTTTATTTTATTTGTGATTGCATTTTTTGTGTAAAATTTGATTTGTTTTTAAATTAAATGAATAAATGATTTAAACTTAAACATCACATCACATTAATATACACTAAACACACACAAACATACTAATCTACAAATAAAAAAGCAGCATTTACAGTGTAGTCTGTAGATGTGATTGCAAAAGAAGGTGTCCAACAAATGACGATATGTGTTAAGATGGACTTTATATGTTGTGGAATGT